CATCAGACTTCAAACCGAGCCTATCAACTTCAGATCGAAGCATCGAGACCTAAGCTTTGGCTTGGTCACGCTCGGTCTTGGTAGCCTTAACCATCTCGGTAACCTGGGTTAACTCCTTGGTGTTAGGCGCGTTGTTCACTGTTTCCTCAAACTTCAGCTGAGCTCTGTTAACGGCTCCAGTCAACTATAGAGAAACGAATAACGGAAATAAATATCCCAACATAAAAAAAAACGATAAAAGGGGAAGGAAAGATCCGTACCTGACCCAGGTAGTGAGCAATCTCAATAAACTCGTCCTTGTTGGTCAGATTGTTAACAGGCGGAAGAGAACACCCTGTTCGCTTCATGTGTCTCATCAGCGTAGCCAAACCCCACGGATCATCAAGAATCGACCCAGGCTTCGAGTGAGCAAAATTCCACCCAACGGTACCTCCCCTCGAAGATGACGAAGAGGACATAGAAGGCCTATCGCCTTGATCGATTCGTTACCTCTTACTCCTGGGGAGTTCAGTCTCAGAAGGATCCTTGATCACCTGAAGATCGTCCCCCGCGACCTGAACATCAGAATAAGGAGCAATCTCCTGAGCTCCCTGATCATCAACCGGATTAGCATCCTTAACTGGAACGGAAGCTCCGTCATCAAGAACCTCTTTCACTGAGCTAAGGAAGGATCCTCCTTGATTCTTCTCGCTTCCGCGAGAAGTGCTGGCTGCTTTCGCTGGCCTACCCCTTGATCGGAATGACGGTTGAAGAGGCATCTTGGTTGACTGGGTTCTCTCGGTTTCAGAAGTACTAGCTTCCGTTGAAATTGTCACCACTGTGTCACCTTCGGAAACTACATCAACAAATTCTTTCAAAAATCAGAACTCATAAAAACAATTTTATTCGTATGGAAACAAACGACTACGTAACCTTCTAACTCTAAGATCGGGATTGGAGTCAAAAAGGAAGCGTTGTAACGATCTGGAAATCTGGCTGCACCTACTCGAGAAGTGGTATAAGAGGCCCAGGTACAAGGAGTTTGCTTTAGCTTTCGAATAGAGCTCTGGTAAGCTTGCCGGTAAGTACTGGAGAATCCTCAATGTCTGCAAACAGTACCAGGCAATCATTAGGTTACTAAAAATCAAATCGTATAAATACAATCCTAATAATTCTAACCAGAGGCATCAGACCAAGCGGCCCTAAGAGTACGACCCACAGGGACCGTTGAAGGATCAATCCTCACGAAAAAGTACTTCTTTCGCCAGTCGTCGTCGCTACTGGAAAACTTAAAAATTCCTAATCCTGGACGACTTGAGAGATAGTAGGTTCCACTACCACCATCCTTCGAAGCACTTTCCTTTATCGTGAAAAGACTCATCAAGTCATTAATCCCGACAGCAACCCCTTCCTCCTTAGACCTGGTGATAAAACCGTTTATCACTCGAATAACGGATGGACAGAGCTGGGAAAGAGCTAGTTGATAATGATCCAGGAGGTCTAATAGCAGATCAGGGAGGGGAAACCTAAGATGACTCTTAGAGATATACTTCTCGTGAACGCAAAACCAGCCTTCTGGAGCCATTTCGGGGGTTTCGTGGCCTTCACAAGCCCTGGCTAACTCCTTACGGCCTAGAGCTTGGACCATGAGATTGACTATTTCCTGCCCCTTTAACGCAAAGGGAGGATGAGACCCGGAGGGAAAACTTTCCTTAGAGCCACCGGTTCTCTTTGTTCTTTTGGAAACTCTCTGGGCTATCGACTCCTTAGTTTTCTTCTTCTTCTCAGCCTTCATCGCCGATTCACCAACCTCCTTTTTCACCTTCATGATCCGAGCTCCAGCGGCAGAAATTCCGGTCTCTCCGGAGCCTTCTCTCGGTCCAGTCATAACAGGCACGAAGTAAAGAGATCGAGAAAAAAAAAAAAAAAAAAAAAAAACTGGAACTGATAAACTAGAATTCGTGGAGTACAACTTCAGAGAAAATCCACTCGAATCTCGTTTTGAACTTAAAAGAAAAAGACTGTAAAAGAAAAAGGCAGTAAAATAAAAGAACCAGAAGGAGTTACCTGGGGAAACTGAATCGAGACGTGGAGAGAGTGGGGAAGTTGGAGTTAATGTAATCAGCTTTATATCCCATCAAGCCTCGAGAATCGGAGGATAATTATTTCAAAATCCTTTTAATCTGAGTCATTGATTTCGTTAAGTTTAATCGTATCCGTCGGATCAAGTAAAAGATATCCTCGAGAGAAGATCACGAGTAATCATTATCTCAACGAAAATTAAGATTCGGCGGCTAGGTCTAGCTCACGAGAAAAGTACCTTTTCTCGAAAGCTGGGGGCAACTGTTGGGCCCAAATATGGCCCGTTAGCTGAAATTAGTGGATCAATCAAATTGAGCTTAACAATGGGCCACGCGTGAATTATCGTTTCAAAAGAGAGTGGAGCTCGCCTAAGGACGGTGGCTACTTCCAAGGATTTCGATAAAAGAGGTCACGAGAAAGAGGTCACGAGAAAGAGGTCACGAAGAAGAAATCCGGCTTCTCTCTCAGGAACCTAATAAAACAGCCCAGGATACGAAGATAGAGGCGTATGATTCGGTCAAAAGGAAGCTGTTGCAAATCCCTCAGTTTACGGAGGCGATCTCGGAGACTAATCAGGAGAGGTTAAACGTGACCTGAGGCTATTTAAAGGAGGGAGAAATGAAGAGAACGGGATTCACGCTTTTTACGAATTTACACATACATTATCAATCACAAGTCATTCATTTGTTTCCTTGTATTCGTTTCAATCGTTTTTGTAATCATTGTTCATCAAATACAATCATAATCATTCTTTAAGTTCTAAAAGGATTCAGCCCACGATTGTCTTTTTCCCAATCTAAACCTAACCTAAACTAAAGAGTGAGTTTTACCCCTCACAAACGCCATGAACCAAATATAAAGCTTCAAGATCTTCAGTTGTAGTCGTCGGAAGAGGAAAAGTGAATGTTACTTCCATCTTTACTTAAGAAAAGAAAATCGCACAAACAAGAAACTTCGTAGAGAAAGAAAGAAAATCCTGGAGAAAGAAAAGAAGTTAGGAGAAAACAAGAGGAGACTCTTGTATTTATAAGGCAATTCGCCGACACCAAGAAACGGCCCCATCATTAACAAGGAGATAATGATTAAGTTTTGCATTGAAAAGGGCACAAGTAGCCGTTATGGACACATGCCAACGGTCCATCGACAGGGAGCGGACACGTGTCGAGTCTCTGCGCCGCGGAAGCTAAACCGCCTTTAACCGAGAAAGCCATCTTAGTCTTTTCAAAAAAATAATAAGATTGGGGGACAAATATTGAACCCAATTTCGGCACCTATCTGGACAGGCTCAAGCCCATCTGGAGTAATCACTAACTCGACATCGAGCCGGACTCTACGAGGTCGAATATAAGATTCTGGAGATCGCAGAGATGGTTAGAGGACGAAGGGGACTATAAAAAGAGAGCTAGAATGACATTCAACCACACGAGAAAAATCCTAGAGCTATTCACTAATCACATCGACCTCATTCTTTAGATTTCTAGTTCACTTTCCTGTACTCTTTGTTGTTATTTTCGATCTTGTTCATCACCTTGTAAACGAATTCCGTATTCAATAAAAGTCTATTTTTTCAACCGAAGTCCGATTATATCGTTGTGTTTAAGATCATCGTTGCCCACATCCTTTGTCTTCCACTGATTGAACTCTCGATACAAAATACTGTGTGGATTTTAGGATCTACAATAGTGAAGAAGAGTAGTGGCCATGTAGGTTCAATATAGTTTAAAGTGATAATCAAACACATACCGTCGGAGAACAGTGGCAAGTGAGGGGAAAAAGATGACCGGAGATTTTCAGAGAGGAAAAGGAGGTGTTGATTGGGACGAGAAGAAAAAAAACTTATGATAATGACAATGGATGAATACCTCTCGCCTCTCGGGTTGAAATTCTGCGAACTGGTATGTGGTGGATTCGTCTAATCTCAAAGTAGACTTGGAAGGATGAGTGAGAGCGAATTTTTTTGGTTGTTGAAAACATCATTCCCGTCAACCAAATTTCAGAACTGAGATAAAAAGGTAAAGAGATTACGTAAAAGAAATTGAGATAACAATATCTTTGTGTGGCTATGATTAAAGAACTAAAATCATTTTATGTTTTTTGAATTTTCAAAACTATTTTATTCAAACGAGATTAAGAAAAAAATAGAAATAATTAAATATACATAATATGTTTGTCATTTTGTATGTATAAATTATCCCAGAAGCATAAAATGACCTTTAATGTTATAAAAATTTAGAAAGTGACATATAATGTAAAAACACTCTAAAATGAATTCTAATGGATTATAAAAAATGCCTTTTTAGATCAGAGGCAGAAGTTTTGAGATGGGCTATATCCACTTTAGTTGGCTTTGGATATAAAAATGTGATGTTTGAAACAGATTCTCGAGTGTTGGTTAAGATGCTAAAAGGAGAACGGGAGATCTAGCCAAAGATGAAGCACATCATTCAAGAGATCAGAACCCTATTATTGGGATCAGTGGAGTTGGAAATGGGATAGTATTTTAAAACATCTCTAATCGTACTACAAAAGTTACTGCAAATTGGAGTAGAAAATACAGTCTTGAACAAACAAAAACTGCATTACATCATATATATATATGGAGTAATGCAGTTTTGTTTGTTTAAGACTGCATTTTTTACTCAATTTTGCAGTAACTTTTGCAGTAGGATTTGAGATGCTCTTAGGAGCGGTAACAAAAGTGCAGATAGAATATTAAAAGAGAGTGTTATGTTTACATCTATTGTCGCTAAGATGTATTCTATAGTGTGTGGTTGGTTATTTTCTCGTTTTAGGCTGATAAGCATTCTTTTAAGATATTGATTTGATTAATGAAAAGTAGTAGTTGCTAAAAAAATTAATTGCCTTTTGACCAATAAAAGACTGAATTTTTTGTTCTTCAAGATTATCTAGTTTAATGTCATGACTGCGGGGAGCCGGATTTGGGTTTCCAGGTGTTGCCTGAACAAATGCGTGTTACGTCACACGAGGAATTACAAATATTTAAAATGGGGGCGGTGTCAGTGACAGTCTATCTCTTAATTAATCTCGCTTGAAGCCTCTCAAACCCTAAATCAGAAGTGGATAACGATGGCGTCGTTCGCTCGCCGAGCCATCAGCCTAGCTCAGATTCCATCTGCGTCACGGTCTCGCCGGCGCCGCTGGTACTTTCTTCTCTCTCGTTATCATCTGATTGATTACTCCCTCAGATCGTCGAGAAATTGAATTGATTGAATCTAAAAAATGGGAATGAAGCAGATCACCATGGATCTACGAAGGTTGACTTCTGGAAACAGCCCACGAACCCTGGAAACTGGAAGGAGGAGTTCATATCTCTTCTTCTATGTGTTGATGATCATTCCTTTCTTCTCTGCAGTTTGTGCTTATTTCACTCTCTGGCTGGGGCATGCTTTTCTACGGTGGTTACAAACTCTTCACCGGCGGCAAAGGAGAGGTAATTGCTTCCTTCTCTTCTTGCTTTTTCAGAAAGCGCCTCTTCTACCCATTACATATGTTTGATGATCTTTTACAGAAACCTGTCGAGGCTACACAATGAGTTTCTGCTGTTATCACTGCGTCTAAGATCTGCATTCTGCACAGCACATTTTGACTGGTCTTGTTATCAATGCCAACAGTTACATCTTTGCGTGTTTTCTTTGAAACTAATATACACTTTTGATATCATATCTGCAATTGATGATTCTAGCATACAAAGACAACCAATTGAGTGTGTTTGTTTGGCAATGGGAAGTTAGTGTCTATGTTTGATCTTGTGGAGGGAAGGCGTATGTGTGTATATAGTGAATTTTCGAGCTAACTGTGGAAACATTTAATGAAGGTGAGATGAATCGTGTATAACAAATGGGTAGGGAGTGGGATTGTGAGGTAGTTATTCGAGAGCCTCCAAACGTTGGTGGCAACAACGTTTAGATGTACTGCGTTTCCTTTAATTATTATTCTTCAGCCAATTTTTATTGTTGTAGTCTGGAATGCGGCATGGCCCATAATACACTGTACGATCCCAAATAATTGAGTGGCTTTTTCTTTCGATGTAGTCGACCACACTTTGAGGGGCTTAATTAATTTCTTTTCGTAAAACTGTGTTTAAGATATGGATTCTACCAGAACTAAACTAGAGCAGCAAATGAAAGAAAAGAAGGAAAAGTTGCATTCTATAGGCCCATGTTATTTACCCGGAGAAGCAAAAGGGAAAAAATAACAAAACGTATTGAATGTATATAGGTAAGGCTCATCATGGGACAGGGTAGGATTTGTTGTTGCACATGCACTTATAAGCAATGGGACAAGTTTCAGCCTCTGCTAGCGATGCACACACAAAGCTAACCATCATAAGATGACATGGGGAGCATGAACCACACACATGTGAGCAGTCCGGCAACCTAGACCCAGCCACCTGCACGGTGTCCGGCCTCCTTTGACACTTCACTTTTCCCGTAGTCCTTCCGACATGAAGATGACCTACGCGCACACATAAACATGAACAAGGAGACCTTGAAGATAGTGAAAGACGTGGTATGGCGACATTAAGAAGAGATATCGAAAAGCATACATACTTGGATGGGGGAGTGAGGTGAAATGTCTACTAGCGAAGAGAGAGCCGAAAAAGAAAGAGAGGAAAAGGACCAGGAGAAGAAGAGACTTCATGATATTTTGTTGAGTAGTAAAACTAGAAGTGGGCGAATCGGGATGAAGTAGTGTGTGAATGTGATACGTACGGCGAGAAAGGTCTATATATGATGTGGATAATTAACATAGTGTTTAAGAAATTGAAGAGACTCACGGCAGAGAAGAGGAGAGTCACATGAAAACAAGATCGAACGAATAAAAAGATATAAATTTTGAGGAGAGTAGAATCACAAAAGCAAAGCCTAATTAAAAACTTGAACTTCATTTGTGTTACTTTGGTGAATGTCCTGAGCTTCTTCTGTGTAAAACGTAAAGAGGTACTTTTGTATGCAGTCACCTTCAATTTCCCTTCTTTTGACCCCTTCTTTCTGTGACCTGCATTAATGCCCCCTCACCCTCCCATTAATGTTTGTATTATCCATTCTATTTAAAAAAATATTCTAAAAACTATTGTACAAAATTGTTAGACCAATTTATCTATCTATCTATATATATAAAGTAGGGTTATTCCTCTTTTAAATGTGCCACGTCATTAAATCATAAAGGGAGGAGATGACACGTGTTCTTTTTTGTTTTCGTTTTAATGAATTTTTACACGAGTGGAGTACTGGGCCGAAAACAAAGACAATCTTGGCCTGTTAGGCACTTACGTTTAGCCGACATCCATTTTTAGGGTTCTTCGTCTCCACGTTCTGAAATTCTCAGGATACGAGTCTTCGTCAATGATCGGTGTGTCTATGTTGGTTAGCATCAATCTGTCCGATGCAGGCTCGGTAAGGTCGCTCGCAGTTTCCGTCGTCAATGAAGATTTGGTCATTTTACTGAATCTTTCTTCTCCAACCAAACCTCTTTTTGGAAGCCGACGGCCCTGCCATGTCTTCACGAGTGATTTTCCCACCGATTCACGAAATCGTTGCCAATCATTGCCGTTACGAAAGAACCTTCCATTCATTAAAACTTTCATTGAAACCATTTTCCCATTAATGACACGATGTTTCATTCAAGCGTCCCTTCTTGCTTCCATGGTATGAATCAACTATAAATATGTGAGATTATTAACTTGAAATTCATCAGTTCTTCCTCTCAATCATTATAAGCTCTCTCTTTCTCTCTCGATGGTTTAATTTTCCTTCTTCTATCGATGTGCTATATTTCATAGCTAGGTTATGGAGATTCACAGAAACTGTAATTCTCTGTTTTTTTTTGTTGAGGGAAGAAATAGAAAAAGATTTCACAGCCTTCGTTAGGAAAAAGCCTCCTACAAAACTAAAGAAGAGGCAAGAACTGTTCAGAATTTAATGAATGTAAGTTCCCAGCTTTTTTTGTTGCTTAACATTTTCATTCTTTGTTGCTTAACATTTTCATTCTTCGTTGCTGACTCTTTTCACCGGATTGTGGCTAGCATGCTTTTATGATTTGTGACCTCCATGAGGTGGCGGAAACATGATCAAAGGTGTGATTCCTTGGTTTCTTCAGTTTAAAGTCCACAAAATTCATGTTCTCTTAAAAAAAAGTTCTTCTTTTGAATCTTTTTAGTTGTAAAAAGGAAAAACAAATATAGCAATGTCCCATTTTTAGTGAAAGAAACTGTTTTACTTATGTTTCTTAATATTCTTCTCTTTGTTTTTGTAAAAGAGATGACTTGACTTTTTATTACCAGAGCTAATTGTTATCTCCAGTTTATTATCAATAATTCAACTCTCTGTAATTTTCTTACATCTTTGTTCCTTATTTAATTTCTGGCTTGCTACTATATATGTTACTAACATTATTCACAATTTTATTGTGGTATCGAAGAGATGGCGTCTACGAATTTTAACTCTGGTTCATGAAGAGATGTGGTGATATTGCTCGAGGTTGGTTCCTGGATTACTCTTACGGTTTTCCCAGTGATTGCAGTTTACCTTTTTTGCTGCAGATGAAACAGGAGAAACACAACTTGGAGATCCTTCTCAGTAAATCTCAGCCTTTACTGTTATGAGAAACTTTCGGTGTTATTACATCAGTATAATACTTCAAAAACTGAGATATGGGTGGCAATAAGAATGAGACCAATGTAGTGTCGTGGAGCAAGGTCACAATTTTAATTTGAGCTATGGTCTTCAAATTTTGCATCTTCCTGGACTCCGAGAAGGGAGAAAAACGTTGTAGTCTGTTATGAGAGATGAATGACTATGTATGTGTCTATGTTCATTTAGGGTCTCTCTCATATGGTTGTTTTTGTCTTTGTTATGAGATCATGTCTTTCATACAGCATGATGTCCAAGTATGACTGGAGCTATGTATCAAATCTAAAGCTTCTCCTTTGTTTATGTTCTCGAGTTTTGTTTTTATCACACAAGTTTCCCAGCTGGGAATACTTAAAAAAGAAGCCTAACACTTTTCATCAGCGAATATATTTCAGAAGTGCCTCAAACTATCTCTCACTTATAGTTCGTCAACCTGAAAATTATAAGGAAGGATCTGAGAAAAGCAACCATGGATAGTTCAAATACGGTATCAAAATTCAACATGATGAGTTTCTCTAATGTTTTGGTTTGGCTATTTTGAGTCTTGGTTTAGTTGGTTTGTTTTTGTGAAACAGTTTTGCCATTTACGGAAAATCTTTACAAAAAACAACTTCATCTTCTTCCTCAACTTTTCTCACTACCAAAAGGATTTTCATTATTTACCAAAAAAATCATAAATACTCAGATACTTCAAGGTGTATTGTAATGGTCTCCATTTTCTATTCAGGTATCATGATTAATAAAGTTCACCTAATTCTTCTTCTACGGCAATTACCAAGTTAAGTTTTCAAACTAATTAACAAAACATAAATCATAATCAATTTATGGAAATGAAATTTTTTAAACCAAAATAATACATTAAAAATATTCATTTAGTTCCACAAAACCGAAACTCTACATTGTAAATCGGGCAACTGCATCATACAGATACACTGATCATGTCCCAATCAAATATGGGTTAGAACGTCCCAACAACTAAAACACAACCAAACAAAATATCATATCCCAACAACTAAAACACAATCCGCGCGATCATGTCCCAATCAAATATGGGTTAGAACGTCTCAACAACTAAAACACAACCAAACAAAATATCATATCCCGCGTGATACGCGGGTTTCCCCTAGTTTATTAATAATTTACATGTCTTCATTAAAATTTACATAATCAACTAAAATATTTACTCTATTAAAAATATTCTAAGAAAAACAATTGTACAAAATTGTTAGACCAATTTTTAATAATTTAACATATCTTATTAAATATTTGCATAATCAACTAAAATATAACTAAATAAAATTTCTAATAATATTCGTTTCCTAAATGATAATCTTTCATTTGCTGTTAACGATTAATATACCTTCATCTTCATTTACATAATATAACATACACATATTTATACTATTATTTGAGAAGTAAATTTTCTTCGTTAATCCAAACAACAGTATATTACAAATGCATACTTAATGAAATAAAAAATTGTATATAATATCATTATTAAAATGTATATTTCCTTTTTCTGTTTTTCTTTCCTAGCTTTTAGACAGATTTTTAAGTTTAGTCTTTTTTTTCTTGTATTGGTTTCAAAAAATCACATATATTAACATGAAAATATTTTTAAATTTAAAAAAGTGGATATATTTCTATACATGTATTTCATAATGAATCCATAAAAAAGAAGTTCACAAATCAATAAAATTTATATTTAAAAAATAAATTTATTTTTAAAACATAATCCCAATCAACAAATGTTCACTTTAATTATTATTACTACTTTGATATTATATTGGAAAAGATAATAAAATACTTTTTTTACTTTAAACCCATTCTGATCAAATCATTACAAAGAGTTTTGTGGATAACATAAATATATATATTTTGATAAACTAATAGTATCATAATTTTCCATTGTTAAAATTCATTTCATGTTTGGCTTACTACTTTTTAGTTTTATTTTAATTTTATCTTTATATAATTTTACCAAAATCGCATAAATAACAAAATATAATAGATTGTATGTTTGGTTTATAATCTCAATCCAAACTCATAACACCTTATATTTTTAAACCCCAAAGAAACATATATCAATTTATGAAAAATATTAAACATACTCAAAATTTAAGAGTTAGCAAAATTAATCATAGTATATCTATATTAGAACAAAAAACAATTGGGTTCAGTTCAGAATAATTTATGCAACCTAATATAACATAATAAAAATAACCCAACCAAAATTAGTTCTTATTTGTGAAATTATTTGAAATAGTTTTGAATTTATATACTATAAATCTAATTTATAAATTACTAAAAAAAAATTGAAACTAAAAGTAAATATTAATCAACTAATATGATTTATTATTTATAAATATTGATGTTTGTGCATGAGTCTTTAAATTTTTTACAGATTATATTCATTTCTGGAATTTCTTACTAAATATAAATTTAACTTTTATAATTTTTTTTTTTGCAAAATAACATATATCAAATGAAACATAATTTTCGAAATACACTTAAGATGAAAAACATAACTAATTGCAATGAGTAAGACTAGCCTAATTTTATTTTAAATAGAACTAGAAACAACTATAATTCAATCTGTATAAATATTTAACTCAATATACCCACAAAATGATTAACCAGGCCAATAAGATTCGTATACTTAAATCAAAGTCTAATTAAAATAACAATATATTATTGTCTGGAAAACATTCTATTTATTTTTATACATATAAAATCAAAGCATATAAATAAATGAATATTAACAAATTAATGGGTTATTTTATAGAATTTATATATGCACATGAGTTTTTTTTAAAATATTCTTATGTAACATATTTTCATGTTCAAATAATATGTTACAATTCACCTCATGTCACATACAACGTCACATCTTTATTGTGCCCCTTGTTATCTATGTCAGTATGAGCCCATACAAAGGCTCCACATATGTCTGAATTTGGTTCTATATCACTTGTAATGCTCACACCATACATAGTTAATGGACCTCCCACGTCTTCTCACTCGACACTTCGGCCTCATTCTGTGCAAAGGATGGTACCTTAATTTTTTGAAGATTCGAAAGACTTATTTACTGATCCTGCTATCATGATATTTCTCGTGTTTTGGTCTCACTCACACGATATTGCGAATCACTTCATAATAGGTCATTCATCTTTTCACTATTCCAGCTAAAACCCATGTAACTTTAGAGTTCTTTAAAATGCGTTACCGAAATGATAAGTGCACTTTGGTGATATAGGTAGTCAAATCAATTCTTTTAAGTTTTTCCATGTATCACAAATCGAGATGTTATAATATGCTGGTAGTAAAAAAAATGAGTAAGTATTGACAATTCAAGTGAACCTCACTTGCTTTCTGCTCAGCGGATATTGTGTTACTTGAAAATGATCCATGACAAAGTATTTTCTCTGTAAAGTCAAGCATAACACTTAGAAAATTTTGTGATGCAGATTGGGGAACTTGTTCAGACACTTATCGCTCAGTCTCAGGGATATGTGTTTTTAGGTGATTCATTAGTATCCTGGAAAGCTAAGAAACAAGACATTGTGAGGCGATTAAGACTGAAGTTGAATACATAAGCATGGCTAATGCTAAACTCATTTGGTTACATTCTTTGTTTAAAGATTTTCAGGTCACACTTGAAGACAAGGTCTCTCTCTATTATGACAATCAATCGGCTATGTATATTGCAAATAATTCCATCTATCACGAATACACCAAACATGTTGAATGAGATTGTTATGTAGTCCGAGAGAGAGTAGCTTCTGGATTTTAAACACACTTCATGTGGCTACTCAACATCAACTCGTTGATCTTCTTTTTTTTTGAATAATTGTTAAATTGATTCAAAAAGCCTTTATACACAAGAGTGCTGTCCTTACTTCTAGGTTACTCTATCAAATGAAATTCAAATTACATTCTAGTAGAAAACCAATACTGCATTAATCCCTCCATGCCTTTAACACCTCCCTTGCTAATCAGTGTGATCTTGTTTCGGCTACCTTTATCCAATAGCTGCTCAATAACCTGTAAAGGCAGTATCTTTTCTCCATGTCTAATCTTGTTTCTCTCCCTCCAAACTGCATAAAGCACCGACTGAAAAGCATAACGAAGACAAAACCTGCTCATTTTGTCCCTCCTCTCATCCTTGATAAGAGTGACAACATCAGACCAGACATTTGAATAATAAGTCCCCAAAATCCCTTTCACAACAAACTCCCAGAGATGAGTAGAGTAGACACACTCAAAGAAAATATGGTTGCGTGTTTCAGGAGCATTGTTACAGAGAACACAGACTGTATCAACACCCTGACTCCAATAAGCAATTTTATCCATAGTTGAAAGCCTCTCTTTCATTGCCAACGAAGCCATAAATGCATATTTTGGAGTACCATGAGCAAACCAAATGGCATTAGCCCAAGGGTAGAGAGCCTTACTTTCACGCAACATAATCCAAGTATCATGAGAAGAGAATTTCTGCTTATAACCCGCCTTACCCTTCCAAAGATTACCATCCTCTCTACCAGGGATAAGCTTACTTGCAAGATTGCTCAACTCCACTTCAATATCATTCAAAACTGCTTGACGATGTCTTCTTCTCCTTACAGCTGAGACAGCCTCTGCTAAAGTTGCATCTTTGTTCACTCCCAACTCAATAATACCTCGCGGACCCAATGTATCAAATAATGCACCTCTGTCTGACCAAGTATCAAACCAAAAGGAGATATGCCTTCCATTACCAACCTCCTTTCTATAGAATTTTTTTGCCACATCTCGCAACTTTAATATTTTGCGCCACATCCAAGAACCAGATTGGGTTGCAGCACTAATTTCCCAGAAATTCCTCCCCGCAGATTCTCTTTTAACCATTTACCCCATAAAGAGTCTCCAGATAAGAATCGCCAGATGAGCTTCAGACCATTAACTTTATTGACATCCTTTAGCCTTCTTACTCGTTGATCTTCTCACCAAGCCTCTTACTGAGTTCCAATTCAGTCATCTATTATCCATGATGCGAATTCATCACCTTTATTCTTCATCTTGATGAGGAATAACAGAATATGTATATCTATATATATATATATATATATATTATTTATTTTTTTTAGTTTAATGTCGGTTACAAAACTTGGTCTATATAAGTGTATACGGTTATACGGTTAATGAAGATTTTCTATCTTTGATCTAAACAAATTCTATTAGATCTGAACATACTCACTTATTGGTAATGATGTTCCCTATGTCTCTCATTTGTTGTCCGGTGAGATTGTGTTTACATTATCCACCAAATTTAACCTCCTGCTGCATTTCATATGGGCCTGGCCCCTTCTTAAACGTAGTAGAGATTATTGATCACAGGAAAGACACGTATCGTACTTGTGATAACTCGTGGAGTCGGATAAGCTTCCTTACAAGTCCACCCACACTCAGACAGATACAACCAGGCCATGCCCATCACCACTTGACTTGATTGATTAAGCCATCCTCTCATCTAAACCAAATTCCAAATCTCAGAATAGCAAACTCTTTTCTTCCATGGCTGCAATAACTTCTCTTTCCTTTCCGGCGCTGGGACAATCAGACAAGATTTCCAATTCCCGTCCTCTCGCCTCCGTCTCCGCCATCTGCATGAGGATTTCTCACCACTCTTTGACTTACTCTTTTAGGGCTTCCACTTCCTCTTCGAAACCTATTATCCACTGCATGTCCACCATTACCGGTAAATCTCTCTCTCTAATTTGCTTTTGTTCTGTCTGACAACATTGCATTTTAGCAACCCAGTTCGGTTTTTGTTTGTCAGATGTGCCACCTGTATCGGAGACAAAGTCAAATTTCCTAAAGGCCTACAAGAGGCCCATCCCGAGCATCTACAACACGGTTTTGCAGGAGCTAATCGTACAGCAGCATTTGATGAGGTATAAAAGGACTTACCGTTACGATCCTGTTTTCGCACTTGGCTTTGTCACTGTCTATGATCAGCTCATGGATGGTTATCCGAGCGATCAGGATCGTGATGCCATTTTTCAAGCCTACGTCCAAGCTTTGAATGAAGATCCTAAGCAATACCGGTTACCTCTCTCTCTCTCTCTCTCTGCTTCTCTCTCAATCAATTTGTTGAAGAAAAACTTTCTTTAAAAATATATATTTCTTCACAGAAATGATGCGCAGAAGATGGAGGAATGGGCCCGAAGTCAGACTTCTGCTTCATTAGTTGACTTCTCCTCAAAGGACGGAGAAGTTGAAGCAGTTCTTAAGGACATTTCAGAAAGAGCTGGTAGTAAGGAGGGCTTCAGTTACAGCAGGTTCTTTGCAGTTGGCCTCTTTCGCTTGCTTGAGCTTGCAGGTGCTACTGATCCAACCGTCCTGGATAAGGTCATACCATTTGTCTTTCTGTATCCTATTCTTTCATAATATATTCATTCCATTGTGAAAGTGTGTTGTTATTTCCGACTTGTCACAATCTCTAATTTTGGATCTCATGGAACAGCTTTGTGCATCCCTAAATATCGACAAGAAAAGCGTGGATCGGGACTTGGATGTGTATCGCAACCTGCTGTCAAAGCTTGTCCAAGCCAAGGAACTACTCAAGGAGTATGTCGAGAGGTATTCAATCTACCCTCTGCAAATATTAATGCTTGCTGAATGATGGATGAACCTTTTGTTTTCCTTTTTTTTTAAGAATCAATATTGTAGCATGTTTTTCATTGGTGATCGGAAGAGCTGTATGTTAAATCTAGCCTCGTGGGACACTACTAACTATGAATATTTTTACTTGTGGTGTTCTCAGGGAGAAGAAGAAGCGAGGGGAAAGAGCTGAATCCCAGAAAACTAACGAAACAATCTCCAAGTGTCTTGGGGGAGATAGCGTATACCCATCTTTCTTGGTTGAATTATAATATCTTTAAATAATCAGTTGTGCTTTTATTTTTATTTTTTTATTATTAGTAACATCAACCACTTGCCAGCTCATGTCTAAAAACTTTTCAGACGTGTATATGTTTGTTCCGGTCCTTATATGGACAAGGATCTCTTACTGTCTCTAAGAGTTAGATACCACTTGATGGGGTTGATAGTTTGGCGTCTCTACTAGACTAGAGAATTTGCTCCAACTTTTTGTGTACACTCTCTATAGAACACATCAAAATAAATCTGTCAGACTCCCTGCAATTACAATCACTTTTAACATCTAAACACTTCGCTTTTATGTGTAACCACACATGAACAGAACAGGCAACAGAGCTGTTATAAAATCATCCAAAGGCATTACACAACTGTCTCGATCAATAACCGTCAACAACAATATAAAAAAATTAAAGAATGGGTACCAACTGCTGCTAGCTGCCTCTTAATGAAAGAGTTTATAAATGTGCTAAAGAAAATAGAGACCGGAGGAAGAATGCAAAGAATCAACAGTAAAAACGGCTAATTTTTCTAACTAAGGTGAGAAATATCAACCTCGTCAGGAATCTTGAAGGTATCTGCAGCACCAAACTTTCTAAATTCCTCGCCTTCAGTCACTGAGTCGTCTTCATTATCATCACACTCTTCTGCCGAAGAATCCTGATGACGGGGGGTTGAAGGGTCGTACATGCTTCTGGACCGGCAGTCATGAGTTGCAAGCATGTTCACTTGGCCAAGGTGTGAAATCTCTACCATCACAGTTTCATCATCCATTGGCAGTGGCTGTTTCCACGGCTCCCCATCCATCCTCATAAATGTATGGTCCGCTGCTCCTTTGTGAAATTCGAAGCGAATGCGGTTTGCCTAGACTCACAAAAGGGAAACCAACTCTGATAAGTTATAATTTTGTATCATCACTTCTTTTTGTACAACGTTAACTTACCTGGGCAAGTCGTGTGCCGTGCCCATTTGGGGCGAGCAGGACAAGTCCGTGCCAAGCATTTCTGAACCCAACAACCTCAATGTGGCCATCATCAACGAATGGTGGAGTCAAGTCTCTCTGTTGTATCACAAGAATATTATTTTACCATGGCAAATATATATATGCATGGAAAAATTCGAATATCAAAGAACCTACATCACGTTGTTTCCTGGGGTTTGGTGTGCCCCAAGGATTTAGCCCTCCAGAAAAGCTGGGCAGATTCAGACATACAATGGACCTGATGCTGTGGTGGGAGCAGAAACAAATTTCAGGAATTGGATTATTTTCTTTTATTCGAGATTTGAACAGCCTATTGCAAAATAGAAGGGCATTGACAATAATTTACATTAGATGAAAAAAGATTACCTAGGGGGTATGTCAAGGTCATGCCATTGGCCATTTTTATTTGCAATCTTAACCTTTGCAAGCTGAGATATGTTCCTGCAGGGGAAGTCATAGAGCTCCCGTTACATCGTGCAAGAGAGTAAAATCATAAATAATAGAGATCAAGTTACAGATGGAGACTTAAAATCTAAAAAAATGGGACCCCGTTACCGATAATATATGACCCCCCACATAAGATCACATTCATTTAATACTGAAATATAAGAACTCCAATCATAAGATGCTCATAGTCATAGATGCAAGTTTTTGTATAGATGTTGAAGAGTATTTAAATTTGACATCGTTTTACACATAACCCGATCCAAGCGGAGAATTAAGGTATGCAGAGAATATCTTTTCGTGCCATTTTCCAACTACTGACATTATAACAGTATAACTAAGACAAAAGATTGGGCCGGAGTTCATTGTTATCATTTAGGGAAATGTCTAAAGATCTCTTACGAATAAAAAATGTGACATACAGTAAGTTGCGAGCTGAAACTCAAGGAACATTATATATATGTATTCACATCTTACTCACCGTGAAGCAGGGTGGAATAGAGAGGCACAAAACCATCCTTGCGTGCAACCAAGCTTTACATAGGTACTCTAGCAAATTGAAAACCGGAATGTGAAGCCAATGGCATTGATTAATTTTCAATCCTAACGGGATATATAAATGATGTGAGCACGTACCTGATTAACGAGCTGATTCTTAAATTTTTCAGGGTGCAGCTTCCTCTCAGAATGAAACGCATAAGAAACTTGAGCATCCATTCCTGCACACAAGAACAATCAAACATTCATGGGAATTTTTCTTTTGAAAATTGATCAGATGTTTTTTTTCTTTTTAAATCCCATTATTTAATTTCCATACAAACAATCCAATTGTAAACTATCAAAATAGTTAGAGGATGAGAAATTGTACAAACAAAATGACTCACCAAGGCTAAAGTAATTCCAGAATCCTCCGCGAAATGTGTGGTAACCTTCCTGGAAAGAGTAAAAGGATATCCATAATAAGAGAAAACGAGTCAGAATTATGGTGGCAGAAAGATAATTTACCTTATTTAGTTCATCTGTAGAAGAGACACGGTGAAATGCATGAAGAGAATGAGGTAACTCAAGAGGTGCAAGAGGATCACAAGAACTTTCTTCTTTAGGAGTCTTCATCCTCATAAGTATGTGCCAACTGAAACGAAAAGAAATGCATTCACTAGAATTATAAGCTACATTGTAAAAAGAAAAAAAAAAGAGAGAGAGATATGTGTATACTTGTCAATCTTCATTTCTTTGGCCTTGAGGACTTGATCCAAAAACAACTCCACTGAAGCTGTATCAGTTCCCGGATTTTTCTTTCCCTGAAGAGAGCAATCAAAACAGGGATTGGATTGAAATGCTTCTGATAGTAAATAAACAAAATGATTTAAGGTTATTTCCTGTACCCACCCATCCAAATGCAAAGGGGAGGTTATTTCCTGTACCCAAAGGTACGGTGGCAACAGGAGGAGGATGTGATAATTTAAGGTCACATACAACTCCAAGTAGCCACCCAGCAGTTCCATCACCTCCTGCAACCTATAGAAGATATGCAACCAATAAGCACACGAATAAAAAAAGATAGTGTTGTAATTATTAATATTATACAACAAACTCCTCCTCCCTCCTCACAATGATTTTTAACTTGTCGCGAATGTGACGAGCAAGATCATCATCCTTGAGCCTCTCGAGGTTAAGATAGATTCTGCGGAGCACCTTATCCGGGGTCTCTACCCCAAGATCAAAGACCTGCTTCTCATTTAGAAGAGACCTATATGTAATTAGGAGTTCCCCTCCCAACTGACCACCGCTTTTGGAGTTGATGAATACGAGGACGGGGCTCTCTGGTGGAGCGATCGGCAGTGCCTGAGACTCCTCTGATTCTGGCGAGAAGATGTAACTAGGGATGTAGAAGTGCTTCACAAAATCTGATAAACTCTTGTAGTTATTATCCATGCCGTCTTCCTCTGACTGTAAACATTACAAATGAAGAAGAATGGATTCAGATTCGCGTTTTACAAAAGTAAATTCAGATGATCAAGGAAAACAGGTACCATTGATTGGAGCGTGAAAGAAATGAACAAGGAATCGGGATCCGCAAAAAAGGTAATGATGAGGAGTAATGCCAAATGTATTTCCTTATATATTAATCAATATAAAAGGGAAAACGAAGAAAGAAGATTCATGGAGGGTGGGTCCACACGTGCGAGATTCTTCGCAGCAACGGTAGCTGCGGAGCAGTTGGCTCCTTTTCCTGACGCGGACTGAGTCATGCGCCGCGTTAGTCGTCACTAATCACTTCCCTTCTTATAAATATGAGCCCGATTCAGTTTAATGGGCCTGTATATTTTGGGCCGTCAAACTAAGGTATTTCATTCTCCTCTTGGACCGTACAGACAATACCTTCTGGGTCCCAATCAATATATGCAGCTAAAAGCTCACTAGTTCGTTTTCCATACTCCCCTCTGTGATACTCAACTGATTGTCTTCATTTTTCATGGGTAGTAGGCTGTGGAGATCGTTGATAGGTGTGATAACGATTGCATTAATGCACCTGTTAGGACTAACAAAGTTGCATTTATTCAAGGAGCTGCTTGTAAACCAACTCTAGCAGTCCTGCTTGTCATCCCGGAGGGAGGGTGTGTAAATCTTATCTGTCCATGTATACATTGAAATCCTTGCTTGCAAAATGGTTATTTCGGTGAGAGCTGATACTCCAAATATCTGTTACTTTCTTCTCATTCCAAACAAGTTCAAACTATACTACTTTTGTCCCCAACCAACCTAACAAAAAAAATGATTGAGCACCAAAACTCAGAGCACCCGAAGCAGAATATTGGAGAGATACTGGCCTTGAGGATAGGATGGGTCAAGTGGGTGATCAGACGCAGCTCCTGCCTCCCTCACCACTGTGATCTTCCTTCCCGCCATTCCTGCGGCGCTTTGAAGAATGCCCAAGAACTTTCCGCTCTGTGTCATGGCACCTGAACATGAGCATGTCATCAACAGACCTCCACTACTTGTCAATCTCATTGCCAACGAGTTGAGATTTCTGTACATTCCTGCCGCGTTTTGTAAAACCTAGCATTCACAACCTCTCAATTATTATTCCTGTATACCCAGTGTGTTTTAATGAGAAAAACGCCACCTTTTTCCTTGGAGCTAGCTTAGGAGGGTCTAGGATGACTACGTCCCATGTCTCTCCCCTTGACAAAGCACCCTTCATGAATTCTGTAGAATCTTGTTTGAAGAAGACAACCTTCTCCGGATCCATATGGTTGAGGATTACATTCTCTCTGGCGAGCTCCAAAGCAGGTAAAGATGAATCAATTCCTGCAAGTGTTTCTGATCAGACCAAATAAAGGAGATGGATCGAGGAGGAGAAATAAAATGTTACCGAGGACACTGGTAGCACCTCCTCTGGCAGCATTTAGTGCAAATCCACCACTATAGCAGCACATATCAAGAACTCTCTTGCCAGCAGAGATGGTTGATATGTAGTGACGGTTTTCACGTTGATCTGTGTAGAACCCTGTCTTCTGTCCCTCTAGCGAGATTGCGTAAGTGATACCATTTTCCACGACCATTGATCTGTCGGGGAGAGGAGGAGGAGGAGGAGATGATGATTGTGTTAGTTTCAAAGACGAGATATCAAACCCATCTTCTTTGAGAACATCGAGAGACGGTCTCCAGTTGATGTGATTAATTCCATGGATTGAGCTCAAGCAAGTCTCCACATGATTCCTGTACTTCTCAAGCCAAGCAGCAGAAGATGCAACCACAGCTATATCTCCAAACACATCCACTATCAATCCAGACAATCTGCAAGGCAAAGCAGACACGTATGTTAAGATTAGATGAGAAACTTTTTGTTCAGATGAGTCGTGAGCGAGTGAGTTACCTACCTATCTCCCTCACTGTTCACAAGACGATAAGCATTAGTATTCGCCGAGGGGAGTCCTAAACTATTCCGTAACTGAACTGCTTGAGTGATTCTAGTTTGGAGAAGCTTCTCAATGTTGAGTGCACAAGAAGGATCTCTGCAAAGATCAATAATGAAAAAAGGATAAAGAAGTAAAAAACAAGTTGGTTCCAAAGAAAGAAAGAAAGAAACCTGGTGGATTCGTGTTGGAGCTGCATAAGGCGAACACAGAACATAGAAACGGAGTTATACAAACCCCAACCAATGGGATTCTCGGTTCCATCGGCGACAATGACAACATCTCCAGTCTGTGGAGGCGGTTTTCCAATGATCCTGTCGACGGCTCCACTGTACACCATTGGACTTCCGTCTTTGAAGAGCTGTGTCTTGCCCTTTTTGAGAACCACCTTAGCAACACCTGAAGAGACAGAGAGTGGCAGACCTTGAGGGCGAGAAGAAGAAGAAGAAGAGGAAGCAATTCGGGAAGACGAAGATAGGAGGCGGGAGGGAAGGTGGAGCACACCCACGGCCACCATTGCCAAATTCCTCGACATTTCTTCTCCTGGTCGTGGATAGGCTCTGCTTTTTTACACATAACTCACTAGTGGGCTCTCTTATTGGGCTGGGTTTATTTATAATCTTCACTCCTCGTTTCTCTCTGCTTACGACTTTTGATCCACATGGACGATGCTGGGTCTTTCCAATTCAAAAAAAAACTACCTCATACCTAATCTATTAAGTAGATTTTTTTTTTTTTATAACATCACACTTTTATTAATTAAACTTGAGTTACCATAATCTTCATGAAGAAGACCAGATAACATGTTCGGAACATAATTATGGAAAACAAAAGTTAGATCCGACATAATTCTATTCTTTGCTAGTTTATCAGCACACTTATTTGCTCCTCTTGAAATCCATTGAAATTGAATTTCCTCGAACCACCTTGACCACCACTTAATCTTCCTGATTCAGTTATAGAGAGTGAATTGCTTTATCTTTTAACTCAATTGCTTTCTTGCAGTCGTTCTTCAAAATGATCTTCTTATATCCCATCAACCAACAATGTTGTAAGTCCATGAGTATACTTTGAAGTTCACACTCAAATTGGCATATATAACGTATCTTAACTAAAAATAATAACATCTCTAATTAACTAAACATTACAATATAAAAAATTAATTATATTAAGTGTAAACAAACCCATAATTAAAGCAATTTAGACTTGTTAACTAAAACCAAAGTAAGAGAGTACAATCAATTGTCCAAATTCAATAAAACAAACATAAAATATTACCGTTAACGCGGGTTAGATTTTAGTTAGGGAAAATGACCATTTAAATCCTCAAGTATGTAAAATTGACAATTTAATTCCCCAACTATTGGGTTTGCAAAAAAAATCCCCAAATCTATATTGATTTAACAAAATTAAACTCTGAATTAATCCACGTTTAGCACTTAACAGAAAACGTTAATCTATTTTTTTGGTTACGGGAGTATTTCTCTTTTCCCCCAATTTAAACAACATGAAACCTAAATCTATTTAAAAATAATTAGAGAGAATTGTTTTGCAAAATTTGATGTGGAGACTAAAGATTTCATTCCAAAAGCTTCAGAATGATCAAGCAACCACGGAGGAATTGTGAGGGGTAAAACTCACTTCATAGTTTTTAGATCATGTTAAGATCAGATAAAATATAGCGTCGGTTGAATCCCGTTTAATACTTAGAGAATGAATTATGATTGTATTAATGTTTGTGGTGAAAGAATGGTTACAAAGACAGTTTTGGTGATTACAAAGAACTTATAGAAATGTTTTTGAACTGATGTGTGTATCAAAATGATTGAATGAAATCCGATCCCCTTTTCTTCGTCTTGCTTCTCTTTTAAATAGGCTCAGACCACGTTCGACTGCTCCTAACTGATCTCCAAGATTGCCTCTGTAAATCGGGGGATTTGTAACAACTTGACTTTGACCGAGTTTTATGCTCCTCTCTTTGTATCGTGAGCTGCTTCTTCCAGATCTCTACGAAAGGAACCGGACCTCTTTTCCGTGACCTATTTCATTAGTATTTCAGGAGGTAGCCTCCGTCTTTAAGTCAGCTTCGTTCTTCTTTTCTTGAAGACATAACCTGTGGTGGGCCTATCGCGGCCCGTCACCATCTCTCATTGTTTAAACCCATTAGCTTTTTAGCTAGCGGGCCATATCCGGGCCCAACAGGAACCTGTAAACGATGTTTCACCCGCAACAATCCCTGTCCCAGAACCCGTAACAGACTCGTCTCAGAACCCGTAAGAGAATTTGAAAGGTACTGATTTTGTATGAGTTTAAAACTTACTTTTTTGTTTCTTCTTGTGACCGTGAGTTCAAATATGCTCTTTGCAGACCAATTGATACATAATCTGTTAGGAGTGAAGGAGAGAATTAAGGTGCGAATTTGGAATCAGATGGTTGTGAAATCCTCGAGGGAGATGATTGTGAAGTTGTTATCGAAGATACAAAGAGCCAGTGGATACATGTGATGTAGAAGAAGAGAATGAGCCTGATCTGGTCGAAGTGAGAGTATGCGAGAACTTAGAAGAACATTTTGGAGACGATGCTCATGAAGATGATAATGAGAACTCAGAGGAAGAGGGTGGCTTTGATATTTGGGACGATGATGCTATTCCAGACCCGTTATCGAATTCAGATGCAGAAGAAGCTGAGGGTATGGCATTCAATCATGGAGAAACAATTGATGATCTCTTAGCATTAGGGAAGACATTCAAGAACGCCGATGAGTCAAGTACGCACTTCTCAGGTATTCTCTGAAGACACAATATGATATCACGATGTACAAATCATCATCCGAGAGGCTTGGTGCGAGGTGTGGGAGAAAAGTGTCCATGGCGAGATTACTGCTCATTTGATAAAGGAAGAAACAAGTTGAAGGTGAAGGTTTTTATCAATGAGCACATTTGTGTAATGTCAGGTTACACTATGCTATTGAAGAGTGGTACTATTGGTCAGTTGTATGAAGAACAACTTAGAGTTAATCCAAAAATAAACCAAAAGAGATGGAAGCCAAAATCAAGAGGAAATACGACATGATTGTTAGCGTTCATCAGTGTAGAATAGCAAAGAAGAATCTTGCAAATAAAAGGAAAGCGAGTCATGAGGCTCAATTTGCTAGATTGTGGGATTATCAGGAAGAGATACGCAAGTCGAATAAAGGATCAATTATATAGATAGAGACAATCCCCTGACCAGTACATGGAAGCTTGCAAAGATTCAACCGGTTGTATGTTTGTTTTGCGGCATTGAAGGAATCTTGGAAGCTATCATGTAGAGCAATTATTGGATTAGATGCGGCATTCATGAAGTTGGATATCAAAGGTCAAATGTTAGCTGCGGTGGGTAGAGATGGCGATAACAGAATTTTCCCCATTGCGTTGACAGTGGTTGAAGTGGAAGATGGACCTAATTGGACATGGTTTGTTCAGCTTTTAAAAAAAAGAAATTGGACTTGAGGATGGAAGAAACATAACTATCATCTCAGATAAGCAAAAGGTATATATTTCATGGGTACTTGTTATGTTTGTTACATGAATTCTTATTATATATATAAGTTTAACAAAAAAAAAATATATATATATATATATGTATGTGTGTGTGTTTTAACAGGCTCATAAGTGTTTTTGAATGTCACAGGGTTTGATGAATGCGGTTCATGATGAACTTCCAAAAGCTGAGCATTGAATGTGTGCTAGACACATTCTCGAAAATTGCAAGAAGAGTAACAAAGATATAGAGCTTAAGCGTATGTTTTGGAAAATAGCGCGTAGCTTTACAAAAGAAGCATTTGAAGATAATTTAGAAGCTATGAAGAAATACAATCAAGGTGCATATGATTCACTCTTAGCTACTGAGCCAAGGCATGGTCTCGAGCTTTCTTTAAACTTGGTTCTTGCTGTAACGACAAACTAAACAACTTGTCAGTGTCCTTCAATTGAAACATAAGGGAACCTAGAAGGAAACTATTGATAGACTTTCTAACCGATGTGAGAAGGAAATGCATGGAGAGAAATATTTTAACCAATAGGTGGAAGAAAAGGTACACACCAAAAGCAGACTTAGAGATTGAGAAAAAATAGGAAAAGGCTAAAGACTGCATAAGGTACATAACTGTAGGAGATTTACATGAGATCGGGTATCACAGTGATAGTTACCGTGTTGAGATGAGGCCAAAGACTTGTGGCTATGGGTACTGGCAGTTGAATGTCATCCCTTGCATGCATGCTATGTGTGTGATTACATCAACAAAACTAAATATCAATGACTATGTCTCAGATTATTACTTGACATCCAAGCGGAGACAGTTATATGTAAAGGGAATGGAACAAGTTCAAGGAATGAAGCTTTGGACAAGGTTGGATAGACTACCTATTTTACCTCCACCATCTCGAGGAAACAAAGGCCGTCCTAAGAAGGAGAAAAGATCCTTATGAGTCTACAACTAACAAGAACAAATTAACTCGCCATGGTCAAGTTGGAACATGTTCCAACTACAAAAAAAACAGGGACATAACAAAACAAGATGTTCAAACCTGAGTGCACCTCCTCCAGCAAAAAGGCCAAAAGGCCGACCAAAAAAATATCAGGTTTGTTAACTTGCTTTTGTGGTTCTTTTGATTGTCTTGGTGGTTGATTTGCTTGGTCTTTCGTAGGGAGAATCATCAGAGGCTGTTTCATCACAAGCTTCTCAAACAAGATCTTCTCAAGGCAGATTTGGTTTCTCAACCTAAATGTCAAAGCTAATTCAACAGCTCTTTTTCACTTCGGCTTTATCTTTGTCTTTGTTTCTTTCTCATGTTCATCTTGTATGTCATTTTTTTCACTTTCTATCATGTAACTTTCAGTTTTATGCCTTGTAATACATTTATTTCCATCTATACTTTGTCTAATATATTTTGAATTCACTTAAATAATTTCTTAAAATCTAACCTTTATAAATAAACTCATAATTCTTACATTTCTAAAACATACAACAAACATAACAGTGGCCTATTTGTTGCCTTTGCCTTCAAAAACAGAAAACAAGAACAATATCCGCCATCTTTGATTTTTAAGCACAAATTTTAAACCTCAAGCTTGATTTTAAAGAACACGTTTCCAAATATGAGGACAAAGAACTTGTTGTAGCTTTGTATGGTATATACGAATATAGTTTTTTCTCTGAACAATGTTCTTTGTTCTTCATGAGGTTCTTCATACTAAGCTAGAAAAGAGATTGTTGTTTTTGTTAAAAGATTCATACAAATGAGCTCTGCAATTGACGCTAAAATCAGTTTAGGGTTCACTTGGTTTTTGATTTGGAGGAAAACATGGGAAGAAGATGATTAAAACAGGGTCAAAAATTAGATTAACATTCTCTGTTAAGATGTTAAAGGTGGACTAATACGAAGTTTAATTTTGTTAAGTCAACACATACTTGGGAAGTTTTTTTGCGTACCCGATAGTTGGAGAATTAAATTGTCAATTTCAAATACTTGAAGATATAAATGATCATTTTCCCATTTTAATTATGGTATTATTCACAAGAATCATAAAACACAT